CCTCACAGGCCAAGTGGGCTGAATGCCTCTGACCCTAAGTGCAGGGAAGGGATCTTACTGTGTTGTCCTGCCCCAGGGCAGCTGTCCCCAAGCTTGCTGGGCAGGACCAGTCCAACTGCAGTTGGCCTTCAGTGCCCAGTTGAAGACATAGAGCTGGGACCTGGGAGCCAAGACTCCCAGGTTAACATTTCATTTAGACCCTGCTGAGATTTGTGGCCTCTTAAGTGCTTGTCCCTGCTTTGCCTTTTATGGGTTGAATTTCTGCCTGTCCTGGGTGGTTGACAGGGCTTTGCAGGAAGTGCTGATTAGCTAGGACTGAAGGGTGGCTTCTGGAATACTCGTTAGTGTGTTATTAGGGTCTGGATCCAGTCTGAAATGCCTACCATCTGATGTATGTGTCCCCCAGCCTGAACTGTCTTGTTTCTGTTTCCTCTCCATTAGCGACAGCCTCATAGGCAAGCAGATAAAGAAGTAAAGCTGCTAGAACCATCCAGAAGCATTTACGCTGACTGGCAGAGCGAGGCCTGCAAGCAGTCATGATGATCTTCCCCACTCCTTACCCCAACATTCCCCCTCACTGGGGCCTTCACTGGTGCCCTATAATTTGATTGCCCTATCGCATTGAATTCTCAGTTCAGTAGCCAAGTAAGGGGATTTGCAGTTCCCCTCTCCCTCTGTATTAACCAGCTGTACCATTAAGCCAGCCTAGTGATACACCTAATCTGCATCTTACTTGGTTACTGAAGAAGATTCATGTGGTGGTGAGACCAGTGGAGCTGATGTAAGTCCTGGCAGACTTGCCATCTTTGTCAGCACGTGGATTTTTATAGGTCTGAAATCAGAACTGTTCCTGCAACACCCACATGTCTTTATATCATAGCACCAGTGTCTGGTTCTCTTTCCAATGAGTCTCTGATCACTTTTCTCCAACTGAGGGGAAAATGAGCTGCCCAACTCATGAATGGATGGCTTGGGGGCTTCTGTCATGGCTGGAATCTCTATCTGTGCAACTTTATCCACTCAGTTTATAAAAAAAAATAAAATAAAATTGTGAATCTACTGATGTGTAGCAGGTGCATTCAGTCAGAAAATGGGCTCTGGGCTTGGGGAAGTGGAATCAGAGTGTTGAGACTGGTTGGAGGAAAGGGAGAATGAAACCCTCGTTCCTCTGCAGAAGGTGGTTGGTGTTTGGGAAGAGAGGGGCAGGGCACGTGATTTGTGTTCTGGTAGGAGGTGAAAGGAGCAAAGTGCATGTTTGCAGAGGTGGGAAGGTGATCGTCCAGCTACTCTAGTCCTGGCTTTTCCCCCAGTGTTGGGCATTCTGAGGAGTGACTTGTTCGATCCTGCAGTGTCTGTTTGCTGTGACTGGAAGTATTGCTTTTTTTTGTGCACTTTTTTCTTTTTTTTTTTTTTTTTTTATTT